TTGAATATATTCGGATTTAATAAATATAAGAATAATTTTATAATAAAAAGTAAAAAATTAAATATTTTAACAAAGTTCAAGTCTTTTATAAATATATTTACCATAAGTATATTAAATGAATTAATATAATATTAAAATCATTCAAATATATTCCGTAGTCCGCGATATATTTTATTAAAATCTAGACCTTTTAAGCCTTAATCTAGATCAGATGAAAAATATGTTTAAAAAACTCATTTAACTGAAACTATTGTTAAAATTAGCAAATTATAATCTGATAAAAATAATCAGATATTTAGTAGAATAAATGAGAATCCCCCTCCAAGATTTGATAATTTTATTTTACTAAAACACTTATAAAGATGAATAAAGTTCATAAAATAAGATATTTTTATCAAATATAATAATTAAAATGAGTGCTATTAAAAAGAAGAAGGGGGAAATTATCTATGTATAGAAATTATTTCCAGGATATATGGATATTAAGCTCATACACTAAAAAATAACGACTAACTTCTAGTTATAATGGTAAGGGAAAATACGCCATTATTATAATAAATAAACACTCTCTTCTATATATATATAATAATTAGTCATTATAGTTTAACGGTTAAAACAAATAATTCATACGATTTTTGTAACGAGTAAAACATATAACAGTAATTACATAATCGGCCTCTTTATGATCAGTTTAATTTACACCCAGAAGTTCAAATCTTCTTTGATGTTTTTGTTTGTATCTTTGTAATAAGCAGTTATAGGTAAATGGTATACCAGTGCTTTTTTAAAGTAATATTCCTTTTTCGATTAAAGGTAATTGCACAAACCTGGTTAGTTTTAAGGCTCCTTATCCTTTTAACCAGGATAGATATGATGATAAGTAAGGTCTCTATATAATATAACTCTTAAAAAGGTAAAAGAGTTTAAACAGAGATAAAGAAATTTATATTTACAATGATACAATTACAACCAACTTTTTCAACTATTGAATTATTCTTAGGTTACTTACATTTAACGCTGGTTCAGAAATTAATAAAAGAAGAATTAAAGGGTAAATCTGGTGTATATGGATTTATTTCTAAGACTACTGGTAAAATATATATAGGTTCTTCTGTTAATTTAGCTTCTCGTTTTAACGATCATACAGTAGGATATAATTCTAATATTCTACTTCAGAGAGCTATAAATAAATATAATTTACAAGATTTCATATTTATAGTTTTTGAGTACTGTGAACCAAAGGATCTAATCTCTCAGGAACAGTTATATTTAGATAATTTGAAACCTGATTATAATGTTCTTAAGGAGGCTGGATCTTTATTAGGCTATCGACACACGGATATGACAATTGCTAAGATGAAGAAATCCAAAGGCGGTGAGTATAACCCTATGGCAGGAAAGAGTCATTCCCCAAAAACAATACTTTTAATGAAAAAACCTAAATCTGAAAGCACTAAGGCTAAAATGAGTGAATCACATAAAAGACTTAACAGAGTAGGAAAAAATAATCCTACGAGTAAAAGTGTATTTGTTTATTCTTTTGATCCAAAGACTCAAGAAACTATCTTATATAAGACTTTTGAATCTTGTACAGAAGCTGCTAAATTTTTTGGTTGTAGTGTTGTTACAATATCAAAATACCTTGATAAAAACAAGATGTACAAAGAAAATTGGGTTTTATTTTCATCTTTAAAAATAAAAGACAGTAAGGAAGAATAGTAGGGGCATATACTGTTTGCGTAAAATATCTTTTATTTAGTTAATTCTTTTATAAATTTAATTATAACAAATTAACTCCCCCCCTACATATATAAGAGTCATTATAGTTTAACGGTTAAAACAAGTATCTCATACGTACTGAATAGAAGTTCAATTCTTCTTAATGACTAGGTTAAATATATTAGATAGAAGTTCAATTCTTCTTAGCGACTAAAATAAATGATAATACTTCCATAAAGAGGTTTATAATATAGATAGATATAATTTTTAATAATAAGGGACTATAGCTTAATTGGTCGAGCACATAATTGTCGATTATGAGGATATCGGTTCGAATCCGTTTAATCCCGATAAAATTAAATCAAAATAGGTCAACCCTTGAATTTCGAATAGACCCTCCCTAAGAAAAAATATATAAGATCGAAAAATGAGTATTAATTTGAGGAATTTTCTAAATATAGTGAAGAATATTAATTTAATAAAATTATACTTGATGAACTTTATTTATTTTTAGAGATAATGTATTGTTTATTATAATAAACAATACATTATTAATTTTTATTTTTGGTTAACCTGCTGTCTTCTTACGAGAGGATTAAATTTTAATTATTTTTATTAAATAAAAAAAATGCCACAATTATTACCATTCTACTTCGTAAACATGATATCATACTCATTTTTATTATTTGTAGTAATTTTATATATTTTATCAACGTATATATTACCAACTTACCCATTATTATTTTCTATAAGAATGGCGTTAACAAAACTCCCCCTCTAACAACAATGTAAAATCCTTATATAATATTTATTAAATTATAAATATTAAAGAAATAAATAGATTAAAATAAGAATTTTATAATCGTTCTTACTCTACCAGAAGTACTAATAATATTAATAATTCAATAATCATATATATGCTTAATAAATTAAATTCTGAAATACAAATCTTTATTAATAATGAGATATTTTATTTAAAACTTAATTTATTATTAATATATCAGTTAAAGTTTATTTGAATAGTACTGAAAATAAAATAACTATTTTAAATGATAATAATTTAAAATGGATAGACTAAAAATATAAAAAAGAAGATCAATGTTAACATTGATTTTATTTTCCCTTACTTAAAATAAAGAAACTTATAAAAATTTCTTGTTCATACCCATTCTTTATAGGATGAGCACTATTTAATTTTTATTAAAAATTATTAAAGGTTATATTTAATAATTTTATTAAAGGTTATATTTAATAATTTTATTATTCAGAAGAAAAGAATTGAACTCCCTATAATTTTTCGATTGCTTTATGAGAAAGGAGGGAATCGAACCCCCTATAACCTTTCGGTTGCTTGATTTACAGTCAAGTTGCTAACCATTCACAATCCTTCTCTATTATTGTTAAAAATTTTTATTTTATTAAGTTTATTTAAAAATATTATTGAAAGCACAGAACATTGTTAATAAGGGGGTGTTAATTTATATTTATAAAATTAACACAAATAAAAATTAATGTAAGTTAATCGCGTCGTTTAAGTAAGAAGCTGTTAACATCGTGAAAACATATGCCTGGATAAAAGCAATAGCAATTTCTAAACCTGTAAAGGCTATGATAAAAGCAAAAGGCACCACGCTAATTATTAATAAAAGCGGACCACCAATTACTGCTTTCCAAGTGAATGTAGAGAAGATTTTAAGTAAAACATGACCACCAATCATATTAGCAGTTAATCGTAACCCTAAGCTTAAAGCTCTAGCTAAATACGAGATAGTTTCAATCATTACTAAAACTGGTACTAATCCTAAAGGAGTTCCAGCTGGTACAAATAATCCAAAGAATTTTAATGCATGAGTTTGGAAACCTAAGATAGTAACACCAATTAAAATAGCAACACTAAATCCAATACCAAAAACAAAGTGACTTGAAGGTGTGAATGAGTACGGCACTAAACCAATTAAATTAGATAATAATACATATAAAAAAATTGTATATAAGAAAGGTAAGTAAGCTTCTCCTTTCCCACCAATAGTTGATTTAATCATATTTAAGATACTACCGAATAAAGATTCTTGAACGATACTCCATCTAGAAGGTACTACTTTATTATTATTTAAAGATAAGTAACTCATCCCTAATACTAAGAAAGTAACTATAATAAGATATAAACCAATATTAGTTAATGAGAATTTTGCACCTAATAATGGACCACCCATATAGAAAAATTCTTTAATTTCGAATTGCTCTAATGGATTGTGAATGAAAACAGTATTAATAAAAGTTGTCATGTTAAAAATAAATTGTACTTATTATTATATATGTATATCGGACATAACCACTTTTAAATAATAAAAATATCTTTTACAAAATAAGATACCTCCGAGGCTCCCGAGGGTATTCAGGTCTAAGAGTTTTAATAAAAAGATAATTATACTTGACATTTCCTACTACAATTAAAATCGAGATTCTTACTTATCAGACGATGTTAAATCCATCGAATTTTATATAATTTATCCCTATCTAAATAATTATATATTCTCCATGTACTACAATTAAAATATTTAATAGCTGGACTATAATCCGCGAAGCAGCTTCTATACAAGTATTAAAAGATTTATACAGAATAATTCCTTTCATTTATGAATCAAAAGAATATACAAATATTTTTTTACTTGCCATTAAAAAAATTTTAATTCGAATTTGAATACTATGTGTTTTATCGAAATTCGAATGATTTTTTCAGACAAGATTTCACTAATTAAAACTTTTTTTTATCGAAATAAAAAATTCTGTCTTTTACTTACAATACTAATTTTTGCTCTAGTTTCAAAAGTAGAATTTTATCATGCATTAGGCGATTTATACCGCTAAATTTAGTTAAGATTCTTCAGTGTGTTTAAAACCCTGTTAAGATTCAACGATCTTAAAAAAATTAATAATATTTAGTTCATCTTCCGAAAATATCAAATCTAAATAAACTACTTATGTTCTAGAATCAATATTACGTGCTTATTCTTTAAATAGATTATATATCTCTATATACTCTATTATAAATAAACTAAAAACTGAATTAATGTAACAGATAATAGCTTTATAAATATAATTTTTATTTATTTTAAATTATAAAGAGAATAATATCTTTATATTCGTGTGATAAATCTATGATAGAACTTATCAAGAGGGTGTTAACTAATTGTATTTATAATTAATTTATTTTAAAATCAACAATGTTGATTTAAAGAGTTTATTAATTTCGATGTTCATTAATTTCGGTGTTAATTTTTCGGGCAAGGAAGGATTCGAACCTCCGCATGTTTTCACATATTTAGTTTCAAGCCAAACGCCATAAACCTCTCGGCCACTTACCCGTTTTTATATATAATCAATTATAGCCACTTTAATACATGTAAAAAAAGGCGTCAAGATTCGGCTTCAAAAAGCTGTTAAATTATTTAATAAATTATCTAATCCGAGAACATATTGGAATATAAATATATTATATAATATAATTTTGTATTATCTTAAATTTTCAGTAAAGTACAATTAATAAAGTATCTAAATATAAAAAGCCTTTATTAAAAAAAGCTTTATAAAAATATTATTAAATATAACCTTGAAAGAATTGATAAAAAATCAAAAAGAAGAGAAGTATGGATTAGTAAGGATAAAGGGAAATTGGATTAAGAAAGAGTAGCCCATAAAGACAAGACAAAATCAATTTCTACTCTCTATAAGAGAAAAAGTAAAAATGAAAAAAACAAGTTTTAAAGTAAGGGTTAGAGACCTCTACTAAAATATAAAAAAAAATATAAAATATATGGGTTAAAGAAATATTATCTGTTAGGACTTCTAGATTTTACGTTTAGTAGATTAGTTTTACGGGGGGAGTTAATTGATTGTACAGGTAATTGACCTTCAAACGCATGGAACGCAGGTGGACTAGTAATAGCCCATTCTAACGTAGTTGCAGATTTCGTGTTACCAGCTCCTGCTACAGAAGTAAAGAAAGCTGGAACAGCCCATGGGTCATTTGCTAATTGATCTTCTGGTTGTGCTAAAGTATCATAAATAATATATATAAATAATACTGTAGCAACAATAGAGATAATTGAACCAAAAGATGAAACTAAGTTCCATCCTTCAAAAGAATCTGGATAATCCGGGATTCTTCTAGGCATACCTGCTAATCCTAAGAAATGTTGAGGCATGAATGTTAAATTTACACCTATTGATAATGACCAGAAATGTATTTGTCCTAATAATTCGTTATATGGTTTACCTAATATTTTAGCTGGAACCCAGTAATAATAAGCGGCAAATAATGCA